CCTTAAAATGGGCACTATGGAGTTTGGATTTAAATCAGGAAATAGCTCCTTCAACTTCCCGATTTTTGTAACCATAACTTTTCATAGAAGCCAAACGACCTTTGGGCTTGCACTCAAATATACCAACATTGTATGTAATGAAAGAACAATAAAATTCATAGTCATTAGTGAAATCATTAAAGCTTGACTGTCTGAAGTCTCTTGAGTATTCATTGTGGTGAATTTACTATTGTTCCAMGGCTGAGTGCTAGTTACTAATATGAACTAACTTAGAACTAGTTAAGCACTAATAAGTTTGTACATATTTCACAGACTTAGTGTCTGCACTCTAATATCTACTATTAGTCAATAAATAGACACTAATATTTACTGTTTATTTTGATCATATTTCACGGTACAAGTGTGATGACTCTATCGAGTACGTTGTCACACAGTTTGTTTGTAAGTATTTTCATTTTCYTTGTCTTTAATATCGTTTTCCATGTTATATAGTATAGTTAATTGTTTTTGTAAATCTGTTATTACGTAGGAACCTTGCTTGTTCGCAAGCGTTTCAACAATTTCGTATGAGTGGGAAACCGATGATGACGCGATACCGCTACGGTACGGCTACAATACGGATTCCTTCGATCCTTTCTTAAGTTAATCGCAAGAAATGATGATAATCACAACGAAAAAAAGGCTAATTTTCCCCACAAAACATTTAAGTGGCATTGTCAAGCAAGCAGTACAAAAAAATTCAAGTAATGCTTGAAAATTACCGACAAAACATGTCACGCGCGAGTGAATACGGAAAGTTTGACAAACTAAAAACTTTCACACAATGAATTGCAAATATTCTCTCTGATTAAAAGTGCTCAAATAAATACAAACAAAAGCTAATTCAACTGGTTTATTTATCAAAAAGATCATTTTATCAAGCTGGCATCAAGATACCAAGACTACACTTTCTCAACAAATCGACACAGAGGTCTCGAAATGTCGAAAAAATAGAGGAATATTGATATAATAATCTTCAAATCTCAACATCTGCCAGTCATTTTATAAAATCTCTACTTACAAAAAACTGATTCCCATTGATCGAATTTTTTGTCGAAAACTCACAGGTAGCCCAAACTTATTATCAGAGGACGATGACGTATAGTCCAGTCCTGGCCTCTCGTTTCCGACGCTCGCGGAATCGCTGGGGAAAGAGAGTCCAGTATAACTTGCATGCGCATGTGCAGGACCAGCCAATCAGAATAAAGTTGAATTTCGAGAGCCCGCAATTTATAATGGTCAGTGGTTTGTTTACTTCACGTGCACGCAGACAAAGGGAAAGAGAGTATAGAACAAAGATTTTCCAAAGCCAGTACTAAGATTTACAAAAACATCTTTTCCAATTGTTAATTCGTGARYGGCYTGAAGCTGTTCGAACTTAGGACTAAAATTATATTTACATTTTTTTAAGTCATAACTAACGGCATTTAAAAAAGCCGGTCCAAAATTATCTTTGTATTTCAAGTGGAAACTGCCTTCCACCGCGCTCTCCGCCATCTTGGTAATTGTATAGGACTAG